TTTCTTTATTGGTGAGCGCGACAAAAGAGGTGCTAACACAAAAAAAAGTCAACGGAGTTATAACAGCAACAGTTTTGCATAATGGTAAATAAAAACTTGCTGTCCAACTGCTGCTGGCTTTCAATTTAGTGCAGGAAAACTGTCCTTATTTTGGCCCACGAAACGTGTGATGTACTTTTTTTGTGGCCCGAAGCTGTACATGTGCAAAGCCGCGCCACACCCGCCGGACGCAAGTGGAGGCCAAAAAGCTGCGCAGCTCTGAGGATAGCGCATGTACAGGCCAACGCGCACGGTTCGAAACTAAAAGTGCCGTCCAGCCGCTTGGTTCCCATGCTCCAGCGCACACTTGACCTTTAAGGTTAAAACTGCCCATCATGTTTCTTGGTACCGCCTGATCGTTGACAAAACGCAGTGTCGCATGGCGAAGAACGCACGTTGCGGGCGCCCTCGGGTGCACGTAGCGGCGTTGGCGCTGTGGGAGTGGTTGAGCCAGTGTAGTGGTTAAGGGATGTTCGTCACTATGTTTGCATATAGCGGACGAGAAAGGATTGACATCAACATGTGATGCGACCAAAAGAAGCTTTATATTGCACACTAGAGAAGGAAGTGACACTTTCTTGTTGATGAGCTGCGCGAACCAATGGCTCTGCGCCTCCTGCGCGGGGAACACGCCCCCAAGCAGCTGCAGCAGCCCGATGAAGGCCAGCGTCGGGTGCGGCAGGTGCGGCGGAAACACCTACTTGTACAGGCACACCTTGTTCTTCTCGGTCTTGTGCACTTCCTGGTCCAGGAATGGGAACGTCGCAGTTTGGGTCCCCGTCGTCCCGACATGATGCGCTCGTCGACGTGTGCGAGGGCAAAGGTGGCACGGCTGGAACAGCTGACCGCACACGGATGCGCTACTGTGTGCAGCGCCGTTGAATCGGACGTCGCGACCAACCCAGCAGCCTGGGTCGCAACTCCCGAGGTCCAGGATCAGGCCACGGCTCACGAGGACCACATCCCGGTAGGCCTCGTCCACAAACCTGCTCGCGGCCACTCCACCCAGGCAGGAGCCGTTCAGCAGGCCCCGTCCTTGGACCTTGTACAGGCCGACGGACTCGACCTCGAACCGACACACCGGAGCTCGACCTGGCCAACACGTACGGGTCCCACTTCCGGCTCAGGAACGCTGCCAGGAACTCGTCCTCTCGAGCGGCGCACCGCTTCCTCTGCCTTCCTGGCCTCCACCCTTGAGCTCTTTTTCGCACGTTTCTCGGTACGGCTCGGCACCGCTGGCGATTCTCGATTTAGCCAGCAACTCCCCTGGCACCTGGATCCCTTGAGCTCTTTTTCGCACGTTTCTCGGTACGGCTCGGCACCGCTGGCGATTTTCGATTCAGCCAGCAACTCCCCTGGCACCTGGATCCTCGGCCACCCTGGATCTCACCCGGCTCCGTGGTCCTCCGTGCACACGCCCGCGTCTCGCCTGGCAGAACGTCTCGCTCATCCCTTGCTGATGTACGACACTCTGGTGACACCGGCACTTGATGGCATGGGTGCGGCTACGGAGCAGTCAACCCGCATCGGAGACGCGATGCTCCATGCGGGGGATGGCCAGCCCGTCCAGCGAACAGCTTGCGTCGAGACACGATGCTCGGCGCAACCGTGACCATTAGCCAGGCCACGTTCATCGCTGTGCCAAACGGCTGACCGTGGAGACGCCTCGCCGAGATCCGCGATGCCCTCGGCAAGGAAGAGAACAGCAGGCCAGGCCGCGCCCCGAGATGCAGTACTCGTGCCGGCAATGCCGCCCCAGCTGGCTGGAACTTGGATCGCCTGCGTCCGACGCTTCGGCCCGCTGTCTGCCGCTGCTCCGGTTCGTCCCCAGCCACACAGCCTACTGCCACGTAATGGTCGCACGTGGCCCAATCGTGGCACGCCACCTCTATCAGCTGATGACCACAGGTCATCAGCTGATTCGCTGACACTCACGCGCACATTACACGCGCCTTGCCGCGCACTTCCGTCGTTGTCGTTTTCTTCACTCATAACAATAACCCCCCGCACAAGAAAGTTGTTTCAGTCAAACAACTTTTCTCACAATACACAGTGATGAGGAAGAACAGTCCCGTAGACTTACGGCTCTCGAGCAGTGGTGGCGGAGATGCCTGAACCAGCGTGGCCTCGGGCCTCGTTTCCAAGCTCTCTGGTCCCTCATTTCTTTTTCCTCAGCGCTCACCCATGCCAGCAAAGCCTCTCCACTCAGCCCCATCTCCTTCCCTAGCTCAACTAGCTTTCTCTTGTCATCCATTCTCGTTGGCCACACACAAACAACGTGAGGCTCTCAGATGTAACGCGAGAGCTTAATCCTGGCAGGCTCGCCATTTATTGTGATGGTTAAGGGACGTTCGTCACTATGTTTGCATATAGCGGACGAGAAAGGATTGACATCAACATGTGATGCGACCAAAAGAAGCTTTATATTGCACACTAGAGAAGGAAGTGACACTTTCTTGTTGATGAGCTGCGCGAACCAATGGCTCTGCGCCTCCTGCGCGGGGAACACGCGCGTCCCCAAGCAGCTGCAGCAGCCCGATGAAGGCCAGCGTCGGGTGCGGCAGAAACACCTACTTGTGCAGGCACACCTTGTTCTTCTCGGTCTTGTGCACTTCCTGGTCCAGGAATGGGAACGTCGCAGTTTGGGTCCCCGTCGTCCCGACATGATGCGGTCGTCGACGTGCGCGAGGGCAAAGGTGGCACGGCTGGAACGGCTGACTGCACACGGATGCGCTACCGTGTGCAGCGCCGTTGAATCGGACGTCGCGGCCAACCCAGCAGCCTGGGTCGCAACTCCCGAGGTCCAGGATCAGGCCACGGCTCACGAGGACCACACCCGGTAGGCCTCGTCCACGAACCTGCTCGCGGCCACTGCTCCCAGGCAGGAGCCGTTCAGCAGGCCCCGTCCTTGGACCTTGTACAGGCCGACAGACTCGACCTCGACCCGACACACCGGAGCTGGACCTGGCCGACACGTACGGGTCCCACTTCCGGCTCAGGAACGCTGCCAGGAACTCGTCCTCTTGAGCGGCGCACCGCTTCCTCTGCCTTCCTGGCCTCCACCCTTGAGCTCTTTTTCGCACGTTTCTCGGTACGGCTCGGCACCGCTGGCGATTCTCGATTCAGCCAGCAACTCCCCTGGCACCTGGATCCTCGGCCACCCTGGACCTCACCCGGCTCCGTAGTCCTCCGTGCACACGCCCGCGTCTCGCCCGGCAGAACGTCTCGCTCGTCCCTTGCCGATGTGCGACACTCTGGTGACACCGGCGCTTGATGGCATGGGTGTGGCTACGGAGCAGTCAACCCGCATCGGAGACGCGATGCTCCATGCGGGGAATGGCCAGCCCGTCCAGCGAACAGCTTGCGTCGAGACACGATGCTCGGCGCAACCGTGACCATTAGCCAGGCCACGTTCATCGCTGTGCCAAACGGCTGACCGTGGAGACGCCTCGCCGAGATCCGCGATGCCCTCGGCAAGGAAGAGAACAGCAGGCCAGGCCGCGCCCCGAGATGCAGTACTCGTGCCGGCAATGCCGCCCCAGCTGGTAGTTGGATGGCAGCAGCGTAAGCGGCCGCGTTGCCTGGCCGGAACCTGGATCGCCTGCGTCCGACGCTTCGGCCCGCTGTCTCTCGTCTGCCGCTGCTCCGGCTCGTCCCCAGCCACACAGCCTACTGTCACGTAATGGTCGCACGTGGCCCAATCGTGGCACGCCACCTCTATGGGCCACCACAGGTCATCAGCTGATTCGCTGACACTCACGCGCACATTACACGCGCCTTGCCCCGCACTTCCGTCGTTGTCGTTTTCTTCACTCATCACAGCCAGACAATGTTGCGTTTTGCTTTTTGCTTTGTTTTTGTGCCACTGTGTTTGCGTGGTGCTATAAGCTAAAGGTTCCTTCTGTGTTTGACCAATGGCGCAACATTTAAACTTTGATCCATGCGGTCCCTGTAGTGCTCTTTTCAATCCATGTTGTGCCTGCTGTTGCTGCTCACAACTGTTTAGCTTGGTTGTCAAACTATGTTTTGACTTTTATTGTGTCATTCTTTTATGATATATTGTATGATTTAACATTGTTTCTATGATCAATGGTGCTGGCAATCACACCATAATAGAATGCACAGATACATTTCAAAATATATTTTTCTCGAGGACCAAAGTGGGATGTGGGTTTATTATGCGAGTAAAGTATTGTAAATGCAGCAGCAAACGTCTTCAGCCACGTACTTTTGCTGGTCGTTTCAAAGGTAGCAGTGGTTTAACTTCAGCTAAATTTCTCATATCAGTTTCTTGAGGTGGTGTTATTAAATCTGTGATTATTTTTTAGTGTCACGTACAAAAAAGAGTACGTAAACAAAGCTAAAATGCTGGCATTCGTGATTCATTTATGGATATAATTTAATAAAGTGAACTATTGAAGTGCTAGTCTCTGCCTTCTTTTGTCCCGTGTTGAATTCGTGCTGTTTGTACTTTATTTGTGGATTCGAGGAAGCCTGACAGATTCTGTTTTACCACCGCATATGCATATGCATATTCTAATGTCATATTTTATGCATATTCAAATGTCAGTGCTCTAAATGCTACCCCCAGCTTTCATTGCAGGCATGTGAGGACTTTTGTTGCTCTTCGGACGCCAAGAGCCAGAGAAATGCTTGAAGTTTTCATGATAAGGTTATCCCTCTTGATATTTTTTTGTTCTTCGTTTGCCCCTCTGTTCTTCATATCAGTTGTACTTGGCTTCAGTCGGCACTTGTCAGGCCACTTACTCTTTGTTCATGTAGACGACCTGCTGATGTGCCTGCTGTGTCCTGCCTGGATTTTGAGATTTGTTGCACTATTGCTGCATTCTTTAAAAATGTAGTTCAATTTTTCCTGTAGTGCAGCGTAGCACGACATGCCCAGCCTTGCTGCAGGTGATTCCGCACGAAAGAAGCTATGGATGTACTCTCATTTGATGCAGGGAACTGCTCCGCAAAGTCAAGCCTTCCCTGGTGCCTGAAGACTCGGAGATCTGCGAGCCAGCTTCCTTCTCCCAGGTGACCTTGTGCTGTGCACAACTTCCTGCAACTTGAGCCTGATTGGTTCACTACACAATAGGATTACAAAAGACACTATAGTGGAGGGCCCTAAGGGGAGATGCTGGTTTTAAAGATGAAATTTTTATTATTAGAGATATTTTAATGAAATTAGATGTGTGTATGTGTTTCTTTCTCCTGTTTCAAAAATTTAATTGGCTTTATTGTACCTCAAGTAGTCCTCAAATTATGAGGAAGTGAAGTATAATTAGAATATTTCTTACAGATCATTAAGGCACTTTCCCTCCATATATTTTGGTTTTGTTAAAGATGCCGCTGTAGCCAGAGATCTGCGATGCGGAGCTATGCTACTTATATTGATTCTGATATACATCATGATATGAAAATATTCAATTGTACTGATGTGCCATAATGCTGAAGTGTAATTGGCTCACATTATTATTCCCAAAATTTCATATGTTCAACTTAGCCATCAAAAAATAGCATAGCTTCACAGTTTGATTTCTTACGAGTTCTGCGGTATAACATTTATGAAAATTGACTCACAAAAACGTAAGATAATGTTCCGAAAAGCTAGTCAGGCTGGCAAAAAATGTGAAGCTGAGAAAATCGCATTTGAAGTTTGACACTCGCTGTCAAAATTTTTAAAAGGAATCTTCAACAATAAATCGAATATGTTCTCTGTCTGTTTGTTTGCTAAACAATACAGAAAGTGTCTTATTTCATTCAAGGAATCATTAAAAAGAAAATTCTAATGAGGAGAGCAAGATCTGAGCCCCACCATGGCAACTGGTTGAAGGGGAGGGGGAGGGGGGAGATTCCCAAAAAAAACCATGGGGTATGCATACCTGCCAACTCTTCCAATTTTCCCGTAAAATGTACGAATTCCGACCGCGCTTAGAATATTATGAATCTTGCCTGAAATTTTACGAAAAATGCTTATTTCCGATTAAAAAAAGTAGTAAACTAGCTTGGCCTTTGCGATTGGCTACGGCACATTGCCGTAGCTAGTCGTGGAGGCCACAAAAACGGCATTGTGCTATATTCCGCCACCAGAAGAGAAAATTATGTATTGGTGTTATCATCATCACATACCTGCCAAGTCTCCCGCATTGTCCGACAGACTCCCAGATTTCGTTTGTTTCTTTCAATTGTACGGTTGCCATGAAAATCTCCCAAAATATCAAAATTTGTGTGCAAGATCTGGCCAGATTGACAAAAATGCAGGTGAGTTCGTTCCAGGCTCTTTCCGAGCCCACCACATTTTATTCTAAATGAATTTGAGAGGGTTCATCTAAACATACAGTAAAGTCTCAGTGATGCGAAACCACAGCAGATACGAATTCGTCAAATTTTCCAGCCAAATTCATGCGTCCGTTGGGTCAAAATTCAAATGTTCCAAACACTTTTTTTCAAATGTTCTGAACACTTTTCTTGATCGCGACGTGTTATATGAACTTTAGTACTGAAACGGTTGAACGGAGGCCGATCTAGGGCAGCGTGCTCAAAGCTTCGGAGTACACATTCGACCAGCGCACGCACTGTCTTCTACAGTGCGTGTGCTTGTCGTTACCACAATCGCTGTGAATGAAACCACAGTCATTCGACACAATATTATATGGCAAGGACATTATTGATAGAACTCCGAAAGTGTGCGCTTGACCAGTCAAAGCAATGCTGCTGTTGGCGAACACTGCGGACAAAGCCGCGGCAGTTGCGATCATAGATAGCATACAACGATTGTGTTTTGAAAGCACGTGGATTGAAACTAAAACTACCGTTTGTCGTAACCGCGGCGCACAAAAGCGCAGTCGTGGCGATGCGATAGCGATCTACGAGCTTTGAGGGCACGTGGCTGACGCAGCGGCAGAATAAAGGCGGTAAAGAAGTAAAAAAAGGCTAGAAGCATTTTGGAGTACCTGTCCAAAGAATGTAGTAGTGAGCGAAGCCACAGCTTTGATCCGCGCTTTTGTGGCAGGCAGCTGCGCCGTCCTGTCCGTTCACGTGTGAAGACATACGTGAGTTGTTTTGACAGAAATCGACATCTTCGCTTGTTGTTTTGATGACGCGAAATTTCTGGAGCATTTGCGCTCCCCCTTAGAGACTGTCATCTTAGTGGGAAACTTTACCCTCGTGTGTTTGGCCACTCCGAGCCATTATGAGACCACAACGCCGATGTTTGTGCTTGCGTTTGGGACCCCGCTTCCCTTTTGTTTTTCACAATATTTTTTTCTCTTTTGGTGCTTAAAATAGGCGAAAGTAATTCAGCATGTCAATTTGACTTATGGCGGCAAAATAAGATTAGGGTTGTTGATATAGACAAAATTGATCACAGCTACAAATTAATAAAGTTGGTAACCCCCCTCCCGCTTCCCCGCTAGGAGGTATGACAAATTTCTCTGTTGCGAGGTTGGCAGGTATGGGTATGATACTAAAGCCACTGCTTCCTTGCAAATAATAAGAACTCGATGTGCACTAATTAACGTTCTGCATGTTAATCATTAACCACCTGTATGTTAAGGAACATGCTGCCCTGTGTAATAGGTCGCTATGAGATGAGCGTTGCAGATGTAGCGTCCCGACAAGCCGGTTTGCAAAATCACGGCGAAACCAAGCAGACGCACCTTCACCCTTCGTTCAATCGCCTTCGTAAGAAGAGCGTGACATGTGCTCTGTGTTTTACTGCTCGCACGATCATTCTACACACAGAGTGGATTGTAAACGTAAAGGTCGGGCCTAATGGGTATCGGCTCCACTAAACTCCCGACCAGACGGTGCACTTCTTGCCGGCACCTTCTTGTTCCAAGTCCGCTTTTACAAATGCTCGTTGCGAGGATGGTTTCAAACGAGAGTTTCCGGACATCTCGATTGCGTCGGTAAACTACTGGTGCAAAGCACAAACACGGTACGTGGAGAAACATGCGCGAGTGCAAACGCAGATGTACAAGATTCGACAAGCACAACAGTATGCCCAAGAACAAAAAAAAAAAAAAAAACAACAAAGAGAAGTGTTGGTCTTGCCAGCCAATATGAAATGTGGAACGGCGCTCTTGAAAAGCGCGCCGACCACGTCCGCCAATGGGAGCCTCGGTACGGCACGAAAAAATTCACGCCGACTGAGAGCCATTCAGAATTCTTGTCATATCAGATCTTTTTTAAATATTTACACAATGGGTATAGAAAAAAACTTTACTTCAATCATTCAATCAATCAATTAAGCAAATCATTCAGTATGACGATTGAACCATTGAATCTACTTATCCAAAGATTTATTTTCTGGCATGATAGAACAGGGTTTTTTGTCGTCATGTTTGCTACTGTCACTACAATAGTACTGTTGTGCGAATAGTGTATGTTTGGTTTGAAATAGTATTGATTTTGGTCGAATAATTTCAAATTGAATTTGAATAGTATATATTACATACAGTCGAATCTCATTAATTCGAGCATTCGCTTAATTCAAACTTCGGTCAATTAGAACTGACTCTGTGGTCCCATCAAAGCTGTGTATTCCAATGGACAAAATCGCCCAGGAATTCGAACGCGCAAGCACTCAGAGTGCAACATACCGCGCTCCGAAAATGCTCTCAGCACCAGGCAAAGTCCCGCGGAGTCACCTCCGTCACCTCAAGGCTGCGCGCGAAGAAGGAAAAGAAGAAAAGAAGAAAAAAAAAAAAGGCTGCAGCGAAATGTCTGCTGTCTCTCAAATGCCGATCTGTGACGTGCCTGTGCCACACTTTTCCCTTTTCCGTCCTTGCCACATAGAGACCCTTCTTCTTTCAACCACGCACGAAAAAGAGAGAGAGAAAAAAAAAAAAAGCTGCCATGGAGTGTTGGTTCTCTCTCAAATGAGGATCTGCTTCTCATCGCGTGGAGACGCTCCTCCCCTCTCGTCACACGCTGGCCATGCTGCAACAGAGGTATATAGGGCCGCAGCGGAAATGCAGTCGTTGTTGTCGTGGTCTTTAGAGAAAGGCACTGAGCCGTGCTCCCTCAAGGGCTGCAGAAGATAGTGCCTTTTTTCTTTCCTTCAACCACACATTCATTCTTCAAAGAGTGTCAGCGCTGGATATTGCCGCGCGCAACTTCTCATGCGGAGAATGCTAAAGCCGAAGTAGAAATGCTTTGCAAACTGCGTGCAAACAAAAAAGAGATATCTATATGGAGCAATACATATAAACAGCAGTATAATAATAACTGTGCATGTTGAAGAGGTAGCTTATGAGATATTAGTGATACCAGTTATTTTATTATTTTAAATCTAAATTTTGAACTTTGCTAATGAATTCATCGACAGTTGAGCAGTTCACAACATCAGAAGGCAGCGTATTCCAAAGAAAACTGGTGTATGGTGTATGGTGCCTTGCTCTGTCGAGTTGAGCTGTTCATGCTGCGCGAGAATAACTGACGTTGCGTGCTCTTCAAATGTGTTATAGATGCCCAGTTCTTCAAGTTTTTCAGTTTTTGTATGGTGTGGCAGTCCTAGGGCTGTTTAGTATGCTGTGCATATTGAAGCGTTTACCTGGTGGGTCTTTCTGTTTGATAGTTTCTGGAACAGGAGGCCATAGGTCACGCGACTTATGACGCAAGCCTGCACTAGCCAGTTCGTTTCTTTTTTATTTATTTATTTCACACTACTGCAGGCCCTTCTCGGGCCCATGCAGGAGTGGGCTGAAAAAAAAAGAGATATCTATATGGAGCAATACTATCTGTACATAGCAATAAGTATGAGCACAAACAAATGACAAGGAATATGAAAATTATGCAGTAAACATGATACATATAAACAGCAGTATAATAATAACTGTGCATGTTGAAGAGGTAGCTTATGAGATATTAGTGATACCAGTTATTTTATTATTTTAAATCTAAATTTTGAACTTTGCTAATGAATTCATCGACAGTTGAGCAGTTCACAACATCAGAAGGCAGCGTATTCCAAAGAAAACTGGTGTATGGAAATAAGGAATATTTAAAAGTGTTATTATGACAGGGTTGTT